ATTCCTCTTTCTTGGTGTTAATTGCTAAGGTGGAGGGAACATTTAATATTAAAGATTTTCGATCTATCAACTTTATTGGGAGCGTTTACAAGCTCATCTCAAATGTTTTAGCTAGAAGAATGCAAAAGGTGATGGGTATGGTGATAGGGAAATGTCAACATGCTTTTGTAGAAAGCAAATTATGAACGCAACACTAGTAGCTGATGAGGTAGTGAATGATATGCTATTTCGAAATAGAGAAGGGGTCCTATGCAAACTTGATACTGAGAATACGTATGCTAACTTAAATTGGAAATGTACTGAATATATGCTAAATAGAATAGACTTTGGAGAGAAATGGTTTAATTGAATCAACTCCTGCATTATTCTTACATCTTTTACAGTCATGGTGAATATAGGTTCATCTTTTTCTTTTCAAGGCATTTAGAGGTCTTGAACAAGGGATTCATTATCTCTTCTACTTTTTATCGTTGTTATGGACGCATTGAACAAATTGTTATTAAGGGTCAGAGATTTGGATTTGTTCTCAGGATTGAAAATGGGAGGAGAGCAAGCAAAGAAGGTAATTCATTTATTTTTTTGCTTGTGACACTTTAGTATTTTCTGAATCTAATAAAGGTGCATTGCTCAACCTTAGATACATTCTCTTGAATTTTCAAATAGTTTGTGACCTCAATATCAACCTAAATAAGTTCGAATTGGTGATATTGGATGATGGAAATGACACTAATAGATTATAAAAACTTTTGGGATGCAAAAGGATAGAGTTGCCGCTTAAGTACCTAATATCCCGTTGGGAGCAAGTTACAAGAATGTGAGGATGTGGGATTCTGTCATGGTAAGCTTTTAGAGGAGACTAGTAGGGTGAAAAAAGATTATTTTCAAAAGGTAAGTGACTTACACTCATCAAAAGTATGCTGGTGAACCTTCTCATTTATTGTATGTCTTCTATGACTTTATCTTTTTAAAAAATAATGTCTTTTATGGCAATCCCAGTGAGTGTTCTCAAGAGATTGAAAACAATTCAGTGTAGATTCTTATGAGATAGCTCTGAGGTGAGAAAACAATTTTAGACATGGGATGGGATGAAAAAACTATTGTATCAAGGTGACTTGGGATTGAGATATGTTATACAAATGAATTGGCCGTTGTAAGGCAAATGAATTTGATAGTTCATGAAAGAAAATGACACTGTGGAGGAGGGTTATAAAGGTGAAGTTTGGTATTGTGGATAGAGAATGATATTCCAGAGTATTGCTAAGACCGCATGGGAAAAGGGTGTGAAAAAAATATGCATGAGAAGGGATAAATTTCAGGAATATATCAGGTGGAGAGTCGATAATAGGAAGAGAAATAGCTTTGGAGATGGACTCTTGGCTTGGAGGAAGAATGCTCAGATAGGTTCTCGCAGATTTTTGTTATTTTACAGTATAAGAATATCTTAGTCCATGAGTCATTCAGAGTCATTGGAGGAGAAAGGAAATGACATGTGGAGGTGATGAGAAACCTTAATGACTGAGAAATAAATGAGTATGAGACTTACCTAAGTTCCTTAACTTCTGCATCTCTGATGGGAGTAATGACCAATCACTATGGAGCCTCAATTCAGAAGGGACATTTATGGTTGGTCTTTCTATAAACACTTAGATAAAAATAATTCTATAGTGTCCAGTTTTTCTTTTCGGCAATCTAGAAGGTGAATCCTCATCTCAGAGTTGTTTTCTTTGATTGGGAGAGCATGAATGCATTCTTTTTTGAAATAAAAGAAGTTTTATTAAAAGATCGGTACCAAGGAGTTACCACTCAATTATGCAGCATTACATCTCTGTCAAATGATCTAACACAATTCTAAATTCATCTATATGAGAAATATCATGACTCAACAATAGAGAACCAAAAGAACGTATCTATCTATCCATAATATGATTAAAATCTTTTTCAATTCTATCGAAAGCTCTTGAATTTCTCTATTTCCGTACTACCCATAAGACCAACAATGGAATCAGCATAAATTTGTTTTTCTTTTTGCATAAACCTGTCCATGCCCATATTTCAGCTTTCACGGAGTCAGTTATTACCCAGTTTATTCCCAAAAGTCCATAGATCATTGCCCATAATTTGTAAGCCAACAGACATCCAAGCATCAAATGGTTACATGATTCCTCATTAGCTTTGCACATGAAACAGTGGTTAACCATGCATATGCCTCTTCTCTTCAACATATCAATGGTTTGTATACATTTTCTACAAGCTTTCCAAACGAAAAAAGCCATTCTTAGCTGTACCTTTGTCTTCCATATTTGCTTATGAGGAAAATCTGTCCCCATTATTCTCTTGTCACCATCAAATTGTTTGTAGAACGATTTTACAGTAAATACCCCACTTTTTTCTGGCATCCATTGTTTAAAATCCTCTTGATGACCCATTTTTGCTTGAGAGACCAAACTGATTAATTGTTGAAATTCATTCATCTCCCAATCATTCAAATTTCTTTTAACTTGCACATCCCAGAATTTATAGTCCCCATCCCGAGAATATGCCTCTTTAACTTTCATGTCCCTTTTTTGTGCGATCTCAAATATTCTTGGGAATCTGTTTTTTAATTTGAAATTTTCAGTCCATTTATCTTCCCAGAAATTTAGTTTATCACCAATTCCGACACACCATTTTGCTGAAAAATCCTGACAGCCCACTAAGATTTTCATCCATAGACTTCTGCTATGATATCCTTCTGTCAGTCTCCCTCCAATCCCCATTTCTTCTATTACCCCACCTGGACTCAACCACTTTACTCCACAATCTATTTTTTTCCCTTCTCTTTCTCCACAGCCACTTTCCTAGCAATGCTTTATTCATTTCCACCATAGATCTCAGCCCTAAACCACCTTTATCATATGGTTTTTTCACTTCTTCCCACCTAGCCAAGTGATACTTTCTTTTGTCTACCCCATCACCCCATAAAAATCTGCATTGAATCATTTCCAGCTTCTTTGCAATCTTGATTGGCATAGTGAATACCAACATGTAATAAATCGGTAGATTTGCAAGTGTACTTTAGATGAGCATTAATCGATCTCTCTTTGAAAGGAAATTCCTCTTCCATCCTGCCAACCTTTTATCAACCAATTCAACCACTAAATCCCAAGTTCTTGACTCTTTTACTTTCATACTGAAAGGGAGTTCAAGGTATTTCATAGGTAGATCTCCCACTTTACTGCCCAATTCCTCTGCCATTTGCATTTCATTTCTTTTATCCCCAATTTTAACTAGGTCCGATTTTGACATATTAATTTTTAGTCCCAACACCATTTGAAAACATAACAGAATACAATGAAGATGCAGCATTTTCGACTCCCCTGGTTGACAGAATAAGACAATATCATTGGCAAAAAATAGATGTGACACCTCAATCTTGGAATTACCTTTGCCACCCCTTTAATCATATGTAATCTTTTGCTATTTTCAATAATCTGCCAAAAGCTTTCATAACTATTATAAATAAGAAAGGTGAAGGTGGGTCGCCCTGTCTCTAACCTTTGGAAGCCGAAAAGAAGGATGAAGTTGCACCATTAACCATGACAGCAAACATTGTTTTATCCATTTCCTCCATCTATCACTAAAACCCAGTCTACCCAACATTTAGTCAACAAGAAGGAAAAAGATTATAGTGAATGGTTGTTTTCTATACAAAAGGACGGAGGAGTCTTATAATCATATTTTTGCTTTGATACCCACTTGCGGTCGTGGGTATCAAAGCATTACATATGGAGTTCTGGGATAGTTTGGGTAAAGGGATGGTATTGTAAAGGATAAAAGTTGAGCTTCAGGGGTATTATGTGGGAAGAACATGTGGACCGACCTCATTTCCCTTGTATATTT